GGTCAGCTATGGGGCTCTATGTGGGTCTGTGGGGTGGGTTATGGGGTCTGTGGGGCTCTATGGAGTAGGTTATGGGGTCTATGGACTTCTCTGGGGTGGGTTTTAACTTCTATGGGGCTGTATGGGGTGAGTTATGGGGTCTATAGGGCTCTATGGGGTGCGTTGTGGGCTCTATGGGGCTCTGTGGGGTGAGTTATGGGCTCTATGGGTTTGGGTTACGGGCTCTATGGGGCTCTATGAACATGGACACGGACCCAATGGACGCCAGGTCACCCCCCATTGGTGTCTATGGGTCCCAGCCCCACACGTTCCCCCCGCCCCGCAGGCCGGAGGAGCGCCGCTTCGCCGTGTTCTCGTTGGCCGTGGGGCCGGACGGGCGCGAGGTGCTGGGGGGCGGCAGCGACGGCTGCATCTACGTCTACGACCGCGAGGTGCAGCGGCGCACGCTGAGGGTCAGCCCATGTGTGGGGCAGGGGGAGCTGTGGGGCTGGGCCCCACGGAAGGGCTCTCAATGGGGGTTAAGGGCCTGTATGGGGCGGCTAAGCCCCCCGCATCCATGGGTCTGACCCACGCTTCTGGGTCTGCCCCACATCTATGGGTCTGCCCCACATCTATGGGTCTGCCCCACATCTATGGGTCTGCCCCACATCTATGGGTCTGCCCCACAGGTGGAGGCCCACGAGGACGACGTGAACGCGGTGGCGCTGGCGGACGCTGGGGGGCAGCTCCTGCTCTCGGGGGGGGACGACGGCGTCACCCGCGCCTGGGACCGGCGCTGCCTGGGGCAGGATCGGGCCCGCCCCGTGGGGCTGCTCACGGGGCACCGCGACGGCGTCACCTTCCTGCACCCGCGGGTGCGCTGCGGGGTCAATGGGGCGCTGTGGGGTCAATGGGGCGCTGTGGGAGTCAATGGGGGTCAATGGGGTGCTGTGGGGTCAATGGGGGGCTGTGGGAGTGAATGGGGGTCAGTGGGAGTGAATGGGGGTCAATGGGGTCAATGGGGCGCTGTGGGAGTCAATGGGGGTCAGTGGGAGTGAATGGGGGTCAGTGGGGTCAATGGGGGGCTATGGGAGTGAATGGGGGTCAGTGGGAGTGAATGGGGGTCAATGGGGGGCTATGGGAGTGAATGGGGGTCAGTGGGAGTGAATGGGGGTCAATGGGGGGCTGTGGGAGTGAATGGGGGTCAGTGGGAGTCAATGGGGGTCAATGGGGCGCTGTGGGAGTCAATGGGGGTCAGTGGGAGTGAATGGGGGTCAGTGGGGGGCTGTGGGAGTGAATGGGGGTCAGTGGGGGGCTATGGGAGTGAATGGGGGTCAGTGGGGTCAGTGGGGGGCTATGGGAGTGAATGGGGGTCAATGGGGTCAGTGGGAGTGAATGGGGGTCAGTGGGGTCAATGGGGGTCAGTTGGGGTCAGTGGGGGTCAATGGGGGTCAGTGGGGTCAATGGGGGGCTATGGGAGTGAATGGGGGTCAATGGGGTCAATGGGGGGCTATGGGAGCGAATGGGAGTGAATGGGGCTCAGTGGGGTCAGTGGGGGGCTATGGGAGCGAATGGGAGTGAATGGGGCTCAGTGGGAGTGAATGGGGGTCAATGGGGGGCTATGGGAGTGAATGGGGGTCAATGGGGGGCTATGGGAGTCAATGGGGGGCTGTGGGAGTGAATGGGGGTCAATGGGGTCAATGGGGGGCTATGGGAGCGAATGGGGCTCAGTGGGAGTGAATGGGGGTCAGTGGGAGTGAATGGGGACAATGGCTCTCAATGGGTCCCTATAGGTCCCAATGGTTCTCTATGGGTTCCAGTGGGTCTCTATGGGTCCCAATGTGTCTCTGTGGGTTCCAGTGTGTCTCTATGGGTCCCAGTGGTTCTCTATGGGTCCCAATGGGTCTCTATGGGTCTGTATGGGTCCCAATGGGTCTCTATGGGTCCCAATGGGTCTCTATGGGTCCCAATGGGTCTCTATGGGTCGCAGTGGGTCTCTATGGGTCTCTATGGGTCGCAGTGGGTCTCTATGGGTCTCTATGGGTCGCAGTGGTTCTCTATGGGTCTCTATGGGTCCCTATGGGTCGCAGTGGTTCTCTATGTCTCTCTATGGTTCTCTATGGGTCCCTATGGGTCCGTATGGGTCCGTATGGGTCTCTATGGGTCCCAATGGTTCCCTATGGTTCCCCATGGGTCTGTGTGTGCCTCCGCGCGGGCAGGGGGACGCCCGCTACGTGGTGTCCAACTCCAAGGACCAGACGGCCAAGCTGTGGGACCTGCGGCGCCCGGCGGGGCCCGGCGGGCTCGAGGCCACGCGCAGGGCGGTGGCGCGGCAGAGCTGGGACTACCGATGGCAGCGCGCCCCACGCAGAGGTGCCGGGGGGCACAGCCCGGTGGGGCACGTGGGGGGGATATGGGGCGATATGGGGTGTCTATGGGGAGCTGGGGGGGGATATGGGGTGTCTATGGGGTGTCTATGGGGTGTCTATGGGGAGCTGTGGGGGGATATGGGGGCTATGGGGGGATATGGGGTGTCTATGGGGTGTCTGTGGGGAGCTGTGGGGGGATATGGGGGCTATGGGGGGATATGAGTCACTATGGGGTGTCTATGGGGAGCTGGGGGGGGATATGGGGGGATATGGGGCGATATGAGTCACTATGGGGTGTCTGTGGGGAGCTGTGGGGGGATATGGGGTGTCTATGGGGAGCTGGGGGGTGATATGGGTGCTATGGGGTGATATGGGGAGCTGTGGGGGCTATGGGGGGATATGGGGTGTCTATGGGGGCTATGGGGGGATATGGGGAGCTGTGGGGTGATATGGGTGCTATGGGGTGATATGGAGAGCTGTGGGGGCACTATGGGTGCTATGGGGTGATATGGGGCACTATGGGGGATATGGGGTGTCTATGGGGAGCTATGGGGGCTAAGGGGGGATATGGGGAGCTGTGGGGGCTATGGGGCCTATGGGGGGATATGGGGCGCTATGGGGGGATATGGGGAGCTGTGGGGGCTATGGGGGGCTATGGGGCGCTATGAGGGACTATGGGGAGCTGTGGGGGCTATGGGGGATATGGGGAGCTGTGGGGGCTATGGGGGACTATGGGGTGCTATGGGGGATATGGGGGGTATGGGGTGTCTATGGGGAGCTGTGGGGGCTATGGGGCCTATGGGGGCTATGGGACGCTATGGGGGACTATGGGGAGCTGTGGTAGCTATGGGACACTATGGGGAGCTGTGGGGGCTATGGGGCACTCTGGGGTGTCTAAGGGGAGCTATGGGGGGCTCTGGGGTGTCTATGGGGGTCTATGGGCACTATGGGGCTCTATGGGTGGCTGTGGGGCACTATGTGGTGTCTATGGGGCTTTATGGGTGTCTGTGGGTCTCAATAGGGTGTCTGTGTGGCTCTATGGGAGGGCTATGAGGGCCTATTGGGGGCTGTGGGGGTGTGTGGGGCTCTATGGGTGTATATGGGGCTCGATAGGTTGGGGGTGTCTATGGAGCTCTATGGGGGCTCTGTGGGGTGTCTATGGGGCTCCATAGGGTGTCTATGGGGTGTCTATGGGGCTCGATAGGGTGTCTGTGGGGATCCATGGGGTGTCTATGGGGCTCCATAGGGTGTCTATGGGGATCTATGGGGTGTCTATGGGGCTCCATAGGGTGTCTATGGGGATCCATGGGGTGTCTATGGGGCTCCATAGGGTGTCTATGGGGATCTATGGGGTGTCTATGGGGCTCGATAGGGTGTCTATGGGGATCTATGGGGTGTCTATGGGTGTCTATGGGGCTCAATGGGGTGTCTGGATGTCTATGGGGTGTCTATGGGTATCTATGGGGCGCTATGACGTCACCGCCCCCTCCCCCCCCCGCAGCTCTGACGTCACCGCCGTTGCCGGGCGACAGCTCGCTGATGACGTTCCGCGGTCACGTGGTGCTGAACACGCTGCTGCGCTGCCGCCTGGCCCCGCCCCCCGGCGACGGCGGCGGCCAATACCTGAGCGCGGGCTGCGCCACGGGGGCCGTGATTGGTGAGCGCGGCGGCCAATGGGGGCGCGAGGGGCGGGGCCGCTTTGGGGCGGCCAATGAGGAGCGAGGGCCGTGACTCCGCCTCCTCCCATTGGCAGTCTATGACGTGCTGACCGGGAGGCCCGTGCGGCGCCTGACCAATCACAGCGGCTGCGTGCGTGACGTCAGCTGGCACCCGCAGGGCGGGGCCCTCGCCAGCGCCTCGGTGGGCGGGGCTTGAAGGGGCGGGGCCTGGGGGGGGGCTATGGGGTCTCTATGGGTCTCTGGCATGTGTGTGGGTCACTGTGGGTTCTCTATGGGTTCTCTGTGGGTCTCTATGGGTCCCTATGGGTCCCTATGGGTCTCTATGGGTCTCTATGGGGTCTCTGTGCGTCTCTATGGCGTGTGTGGGTCACTGTGGGTTCTCTGTGGGTCTCTATGGGGTCTCTGTGGGTCTCTATGGGTCTCTATGGGGTCTCTATGTGGTTTTATGGGTCTCTATGATGTGTCTGTGGGTCTTTATGGGGTCCCTATGGACCTCTATGGGTCCCTATGGACCTCTATGGGTCCCTATGGGTCCCTGACCCCTCTTCCCCCGCAGTGGGACGGCTCCATTCGCCTCTGGACCTATCAGGACCCCCAGGACGAGCCAATGGGGGAGCTGCAGGGGGGGGACCCCCCCTAAGCTCCGCCCCCTCCCACCTGCCCCATAGCACCTGCCCCACAATAAACCTCTGTGACCCCCAAGTCAGCCCCTTCGCCTTCTTCTATGGGTTCTATGGGGGGCTATGGGGCTCTATGGGTCTCCATGGGGTGTCTGTGGGGCTCTATACACCCCCTATAGCGCCCCATAAGTGACCCCTCCTCGTCCCTCGCTTCCCCCCTTGAGGCCCCCCCCCCAATGTCCTCTCTCTGCCCTTTGGCCACCTGTTATCCACAAGCCTATGGGGCGCCTATAGGGGGCTATGGGGCGGCTATGGCGCGCCATGGGGCGGCTATGGGACCGTGTGGGGCGGCTATGGGGCGCTATGGGGCAGCTATGGAGCGCTATGGGATGGCTATGGGGACCTATGGCGCGGCTGTGGGGCGCTATGGGCTGCTGTGGGGCGCTGATCCATGGGCTGTGCTATGGGGCAGCGGCGGTCATGGCATCCCCCCTCTTCCCCCGGGTCCACGCTCTGGCCCTGGCGCTACTTGTGGGGCTGGGCCCCACACTGAAGGCTCGAGCAGATCCCCACAGCATCTTGGCTTCGCCCCATAACCTGCTGGAGACGTGAGTCTATGGGGCTCCATTGGGCTCTATGGGGTGGCTATGGGGGCTATGGGGGTCTATGGGGCTGGAGGGAGTTGTTATGGGGCTCTGTGGGGCTATGTTCATCTATGGGGCTATGATGGGGATGTGGGGCTGGAAAGGAGTTATGGGGCAGGGCTGCCCTATGGGGCTGGGAGGGGGCTCTCTGGGGCTGGGGTCCCCATCTATAGGGGCTGGGACCACATCATGGAGCCTGGGGCTCTATCTATGGGTCTGGGTCCCTACCTATGGGGTTTGGGCTCTATCTATGGGGGTTTGGGATCTATCTATGGGTCTAGGTCACATATGTGGGTCTTGGGTCTCTATGGGTCTGGGTCGCCCCTCTGCCCCCTTGCCCCACACTTATGGGTCCTGCCCCCCACTTCTGGTTCCCTCCCCCCCATTTATGACTTCCCCCCACTTATGGGCCCCCCCCACTTATGAGTCCCTGCCCCCCACTTATGTGTCATCCCCACCCCTTATGCCTCCCAGCCCCACACTTATGACTCCTCCCCACACTTATGGCTCCCTGCCCCACACTTATGATCCCCAGCCCCACATTTATGACTCTCCACCCCACACGTATGACTCCCCGCCCCACACTTATGGGTGTCCCCCCCCCCCGTGCCCCACACTTATGGGTCCCGTCCCCCCCCCGTGCCCCACACTTATGGGTCCCGTCCCCCCCCCGTGCCCCACACTTATGGGTCCCGTCTCCCCCCCCCGTGCCCCACACTTATGTGCCCCACACTTATGGGTCCCGTCTCCACCCCCCGTGCCCCACACTCATGGCTCCCAGCCCCACACTTATGGCCCCCCCCCCGTGCCCTACACTTCTGGGTGTCCCCCCCCCGTGCCCCACACTTATGGGTGTCCCCCCCCGTGCCCCACACTTATGGGTCCCCACCCGTGCCCCACACTTATGGGTCGTCCCCCCCCCGTGCCCCACACTTATGGGCCCCCCCCCCCCCGTGCCCCACACTTATGGGTCCGCCCCCCCCGTGCCCCACACTTATGGGTGTCCCCCCCCCGTGCCCCACACTTATGGGTCCCGTCCCCCCCCCCCCCGTGCCCCACACTTATGGCTCCCAGCCCCACACTTATGGCCCCCCCCGTGCCCCACACTTATGGGTCCCCCCCCCCCCCACACTTCGTGCCCCACACTTATGGGTCCCCACCCGTGCCCCACACTTATGGGTGCCCCCCCCCCCGTGCCCCACACTTATGGGTCCCCCCCCCCCCCCCTGTGCCCCACAGACGCCTCCTGCGCTCGGCGGGCTCCTGGACGGCTCTGCTGGCTCTGTCCCTGGCCGTGGCCTCCCTGCCGCTCCTCCGCCCGACAGGGGGCGCCGTGGCGCGGGCCGCGGCTCGCTGGGCCGTGGGGGCCGCTCTGTCCCGCGGCGCCCCGCGCTGGCTGTGGGACTCGTTGGTGGCCGCTACGGGGCGCTGCTGGGCCCGAGGCGCTGTCCATGGTGGCGCCCTCCTCCTGCCCTACGGCGACCCCCGCAGCTGCCGGGCCCACGGCCACCAATGGGAAGGCTTCGGGGTCTCCCCACAGGCCTTCGCCCTCGTCCATTGCGGGCTGGGATTGGCTGAGGAGGTGGGGGCCTTGGGGGCGGGGCTGTATGGGGGAGGGGGGAGGGGCAAGGGCGGGGGGAGGGGGGGTGGGGAGGGCTGGGGGGCTGGGGGGGGAGGGGCGCGCATAGGGGAGGGGGTGGGATGGGGTACGGCCATAGGGAACACCATGGGGGGGGGGTTATCCATGGGGAAGGGCGATATATGGGGTGGGAGGGGGGTGGGGGAGGGTGGGGGGGGGGTCGTATCCATGGGGAAGGGAGATATATGGGGTGGGAGGGGGATGGGGAGCACCGTGGGGTGGGGTACGTCCATAGGGAAGGGCATGGGGTGGGTCACATCCATAGGGAAGGGCATGGGGTGTGCTATGGGGAAGGGCATGGGGTGGGCTATGGGGTGGGGTACGTCTATGGGGAGCCCCCATACGCGGCTTGGCCCCATGGGGAGCACCATGGAGAGACCCAGTGGGGGAGATGGGGCCATGGGGGTCCCCAATGGCAGGGGGAGGGCAGCGGGACCTGGAGCTTATGGGGCTGGCTGCAGGCTCTGCCATTGGTTGGTTGGGTCTTCAGGGTGGGGCCGCCATCGTCACCTATGGGGCCGCCATCGTCACCTATGGGGCCGCCGTCGTCACCTATGGGGCTTGCGCCCCCTATGAGGTCCCCATCCCCTAGGAGGTCCCCATCACCCATAGACCCATCACTGATGGGGCCGCCATCGTCACTTATGGGGCGCCCATCATCACCTATGGGGCGCCCGTCGTCACCTATGGGCCTCGCACCCCCTATGGGGCCCCCATCCCCTAGGAGGTCCCCATCGCCCATCAGGTCTCCATTGTCCCCTATGGGCCCCCCCCCACCCTCTATGGGGCAAGAGGACCCCATAGAAGCCCCCAAACGTCCCGGCACGGCCTTGTCCCTCCTCTTCCTCCTCAACGTGGCCTTGATCCTGCTCTGGCACTTCCTATTGGCCGTCACCTTGACCTACCGCTACGATTGGCCGAGGAACGCAGCGGGCGCTGCCATTGGCTGGGCCTCGTGGGCCATCACCTATCGCTGCTGGTACCGGTACCCGTGGTCACCAGGACCTCCTGGATTGGGCCTTCCAGGGCGTTAATGGGGCGGGGATTGGGATCTATGGGGGGCTATGGGGTCCATAGGGGTCCATAGGGAGCTCCATTGTCCATAGGGAAGGGCCGCAAGGAGCTCCATTGGCCCATAAGGGCCTTATGCATCTTGAAGCACCCAATGAAGGCCCATAGGTCCATGCTATGGGGCTCTATAGGGCAATTATGGGGTCTTGGAGGTCCTGAAGGTCCATAGGTCCATGCTATGGGGCTCTATAGGGGAATTATGGGGCCTTGGAGGTCCTGAAGGTCCATAGGTCCATGCTATGGGGCTCTATAGGGGAATTATGGGGCCTTGGAGGTCCTGAAGGTCCACAGGTCCATGCTATGGGGCTCTATAGGGGAATTATGGGGTCTTGGAGGTCCTGAAGGTCCATAGGTCCATGCTATGGGGCTCTATAGGGGAATTATGGGGTCTTGGAGGTCCTGAAGGCCCATAGGTCCATGCCATGGGGCTCTATGGGGCAATAGATGGGGTTTGGGGGTGACCTTCAGGTCCACAGGAAGGCCCTTGAGAGCCACGGAGCTCCTTCACGTCCAAAATGACCCAAAATCGGGCTTTTCCCACCTAATTGGGGGCCTTTCTTAAGGCTATTGAGGTCCTGGCCAATCAGAGAGTGGGCATGGAGGGGGGGCCAAGAGCTCAGCCAATCAGGTGCGAGGCGCGGGCAATCCACCAGGGGGCAGCATCGCGCTGTTAATGGGGTGAAAAAGTGGGGTTTGTGGTTAAGACCAGCCCCAAAATGGTGGTTTTTGGTAAAAAGAGGCAAATTTCGGGGGTTTTGACCCAAAAATGAGCGGTTTTGGGGGTTAACTGTGTGAAAACGGCGATTTTGCGGCAGAAAAGGGGTTTTCTGGCCCTAAAATGAAGATTTTTGGGTGAAAAAGCAACAATTTTGGGTGCGGAAAAAATGAGCGGTTTTGGAAGCTGAAAACGAAGACTTTTTTGAGTGTAAAAGTGAAGATTTTGGAGTGAAAGACTTAAGGTTTTTGGGGTGAAACATGACGATTTTTTTGAGCCGCAAAAAATGAAGATGATTTTTGGAGCAGAAAAAAGAAGATTTTGGGGTGAAAAAGAGACAATTTTGGGTGTGGAAAAGTGATGGGGTTTGGAAGCTGAAAACGAAGATTTCGGGGTCAAAAAGCGATGATTTGGGGACAAAAAGCGTCAAGATTTGTGCATTTTGGTTGGACTTCACTGAAAAAAGGCAGGTTTTGGGTCATTTTGTGCCGAATTTCATAGTTTGGGGTAAAATTCCCCCGATTCTACCTTTGGGGGGGGGGGGAGTGTGAAAAAGTGGAACTTGAGGTCAGTTCAATGTGGAAATGATGTTTTTTTAGCAGAATTGGGCTGGTTTGGGGAGGGAAAGGGAGGTTCTTGCATTAAAATGATGAAAAATGGGATTCTTCCCCTTGAAATATGTGGTTTTTGGTGTAAAGTGGAGGTTTTCTGTCATAAAATGCCTGGGTTTTGCTGTAAAATGTGTGGTTTTGCCCTAAAGTGTGTGCTTTCCGTGTTACAAATGTGTGGGTTTGCTGTAAAACATGTGGGGTTTACCCTAAAATGTGTGCTTTTGCCCTAAAAAGTGGGGTTTTGTCCTAAATTGCATAGTTTTGGCCCTAAAATGCGTGGGGTTTGCTCTAAAAAGTGTGGTTTTGCCCTAAAATGTATTTCTGCTGTAAAACTTGTGGGTTTTGGTGATAAAACGTGGTTTGCTCATAAAATACTGCTTTTTGCACCAAAAATGCTGGTTTGGGCATCAAATCGAGGGGAAGGGGCATAAAATTAGGGGGGTTGCACTGAAATTATTACTTTTTTGCCTTAAACACCCTTTTTTTGCCTTAAAACGAGCCTGTTTTAACCTTTTAATGACTTGTTTTGACCCAAACCGGGGGGGGAGTCTCGCCTTAAAATGAAGGGTTTTGCCTTAAAATCAGGTGGGTTTTTTTGCCTTAAAATGATGGTTTTATTGCGGTCAAATGAAGAGTTTTTGCCACCGAACAAAGTGGGCTTTTTTTTTTCCTTAAAATGAGGATTTTAGACCCAAAATGATAGATTCCCTCCCCCCCCCGAACCTGTTTTTTAATCACCATTTTTGGGTTGTTTGGCCTGAAAACGACAATTTTCCCCCCTCAGAACCCTCTTTTGGGCCACGTTTGCTCTTTGCCATCCGAAACGTTTCGTTTTCTCTCCAAACAAGTTATTGCCACAAACCAGGTGTTTTTCCCCCCAAAAAAGGACCTTGTTTTCCCATCAAGTGCCCCTTTTTTGGGCCATGAAAGTGCTTTCGGGGCCAAAAAAGGGGGAAACGGTCAAAGCGTTGCGGTCGAAAGCGAGAATTGGTGGTTGCTGAGGGCAAAACGGGGCAGAAATGGGGCTTTTGGGGGGCTATTTTGGGCCAGGACCGCTGCACAGCTGCAGCTGTGGGTCCTAGAGGGTGCCAGGTGTGGGGACCCTCAGTAGAGCTATTATGGGTAGACCTGGTAGACCTAATGCAGGTAGACCTAATGGACCCAATGCGTGATAACCATTACACCTGGTAGGCAGACCATAATACAAGTAGACCTGATAGCCGTAATGCTAGCCCTAGCCCTATGCGTCCCTGTTATAGGTAGACCTGATGGCCCTAATACAGACCCTAGACATAACACAGGTAGACCTGATAGCCCCCCCCATAGGAGGTAGACCTGATGGCTATCCCTTACACCACCTCAGGTGTTTGTGGGTCCCCCTTCTCCGTATCTCCTCACCCCAAGATGGGGCTGGGAAGGACCCAGGGGTGGAGGACAGGGACAGGAGCCCCCTCCTGGAGCCTCCTGTTCCTCTCCAATGGCCATGGCCGCCCGTTGTCCATCCCTCCCCTCCCACCCCTCCCATTGGGTCTCCTGGTGGCTTCGTCTCCAGCAGCCAATGGGAGACCCCCCCGCTTTAGACCGCGTGGTTCATGACGTTCTTGTAGTGGGGCGGGGGGCTTGGCTTGAGGTGGAGGAGGGTGGCCAGGACCCACTTGACCTGCGGATGGGGAACAGCCATCAACCAATGACCACCCCATGACCCAATGACCAACCAATGGCCAACCAATGGCCAACCATCAACCAGTGACCACCCAATGACCAACCAATGGCCAACCAATGGCCAACCATCAACCAGTGACCACCCAATGACCAACCAATGGCCAACAACCAATCAGTGGCCAACCAATGACCACCCAATGCCAACCATCACCCAATGACCCAATGACCACCCAATGACCACCCAATGACCAACCAATGGCCAACCAATGGCCAACCATCACCCAGTGACCACCCAATGGCCAACCATCACTCGGTGACCACTCAATGACCACCCAATGACCAACCAATGGCCAACCTCACCCAATGACCCATCCCACCACCCTCCAACCACCTATGGAACCCCCAATCCTCCTCCACCTCCCACAGCACCTCCATCTCTCCCCCTTCCCCACCACCCATGGGCCCCATAGGCCCCATAGGAGGCCCCATAGGACCCCCACCTTGCAGAGGGTGACGGTGGCGCTGTAGCAGACGCTGAGGAGGAAGAGGGTGATGAAGACAGCGACGGTGTCCCAGGGCCCATTGGCCACATCGGGGTCACCATGGCAAAGGTCCTCAGGGAGGAGCATCTCTGCAGGTGGGGACAGGGGGGGACATGGTGGTCCATCCATCATCATCTCCATCCACCATCATCTCCATCCATCATCATCTCCAGCCATCCATCTCCATCCATCATCATCTCCATCCATCCATCCATCTCCATCCATCATCATCTCCATCCATCATCATCTCCATCCATCATCATCTCCATCCATCATCATCTCCATCCATCCATCTCCATCCATCTCCATCCTTCTCCATCCTTCTCCATCCACCATCTCCATCCACCTCCATCCATTATCCATACAAATACCCCTAAATTTCCTCAATTCCCCCATTTTTCCTCAGATTTCTCCCAATTTCCCTCAATATTCCTCAAATTCCCTCAGTTCTTCCCTGATTCCTCTGATTTTTCCCCAAATTTCCATTTTCCCCTAATTTGCCCAAATGTGCCTCAAATTTTCCCACTTTTTCATTTATTTCCCCAAATTTTCCTCAAATTGCCTCGGTTTCCCCCCGGTTTCCCCAAGTTTGCCTCAATTTGCTTCAAATTCCCTCAATTTCCCCCAATTATCCCCATTTCCACCTATTTTTTTCTGTTTCCACCCAAATTTTCCTCTATTTGCCCTCAGTTTTTTCCTGATTTCCCCTGATTTCACCCAGAATTTCGCCCAGAAATTTCCTTCCTTGGCCCCTCATTTCACCCAATTTTCCACAATTTCCCCAAATTTCTTCAGTTTCCTCCTGATTTTGCCCAAATTTTGCCCGTTTTCCCTCAGTTTCTGCCTGATTTTCCCAATCTCCCCAAAATTTCTTCCATTTCCCCCCAGTTTGCCCAAGTTTTCCTCAGATTTTCTCCGTTTCCCCCCTGTTTTCCCAATCTTCCCCAATTTCTCCTGGTTTCACCCTCATTTTCCCAGATTTTCCTCAAATTTCCTCATTACCCCCCCCCCCCCAGTTTCTGTAATTTTCCATGGATTTTCCCAAATTTACTTGGAAAATCCATCATCCATCATCCATCTCCATCCATGTCCATCCATGTCCATCCATGTCCACCCATCCCCATCCACCTCCCATCAGTTCTTCTTCCACCTCTTGCCCCCGTAGATGGGAGGAAGGTCCAGTTCCTTTCGTCCATCCATCACCATCATCATCATCATCCATCATCCACCTTCATCCATCTCCATCAACCTCCACCTGTCTCCATCATCTTCATCCATCATCCACCTCCATCCACCTCCATCTCCACCCATCATCATCACCCATCATCCACCTCCACCCATGTCCACCCATCTCCATCCACCTCCGTCATCTCCGTCTCCATCATCCACCTCCATCCATCATTTCCATCCATCATCATCATCACCCACCATCCATCTCCATCCATCACCACCATCACCCCTCATCCATCTCCACCCACTTCCACCCATCTCGATCTCCATCATCATCACCCACCTCCATCCATCACCCGCCTCCATCCACCACCCTCTCCCCATAGAACCACACGCACCGCTTGAGCCATCTCCTCCTTTATTCCCAGCCCCATAGAGACGCCACCACCTCACTTCCTTTTACCGGGGCTCCTGTTGATGCTGCGCTGGATGAACCGCATGGGCAGCCCCTCGTGCACCACCATGCACACGAAGGTCGTCCCCTTGCTCCACTCCTCCCTCTTCACCTCCAATCGGCTGTACAGGAAGAAGGAGGTGTCTCCCATCTTCTCCTTCATGGCCGGCGTCGTCTCGAAGCTCGACGCCTCCACCGGGTCCTGGTTCTTCTGCCACTCCACCGAGATGGCCTCGGGGTAGAAGCCTCGCACCAGGCACGTCAAGCTCAACGTGGGGCGGGAGCTGCTCAGCTCCTCCAAAGGAGGGGCGAACAGGTAGACGCTGGGGGTCAAGCGCTTGCCTATAGGGGGGGACGGACACAATGTGTGTGTGTGTGTGGAGGGAACAACTCATTGAGGTGCCATCGGGATCGTGGTGATGTGGATCGGGGTTTGGGACGCCCCATAACCACTGTGGAATGAAGCCCATCAGCCCAGAGCGGCCATAAAGGGAACCTTATGGAGGTGCCACCACCACCCAAATCCATGATGGGGGGACCCCACTGAGATGCCAGCACCTGAACCAACCCAATGTGATGCCGGAGACCCCATAAGCACCTGAACTGAGGCCACAGAGCCCCATAGCCACTATGAACTGAACCCCATTGAGATGCCGCCACCAACCAAATCGATTATAGGGGAACCCCATTGAGATGCCATCACCCAAACCAACCCAATGGGATGCCAGAGACCCCATAACCACCATAAACTGAACCCTATGGAGATGCCACCACCCCAAAGCCATTGCAAAATGGACCCCATTGAGATGCCATCACCCGAACCAACCCAATGTGAGCCCAGAGACCCCATAACCACCACAAACACAGATCCCATCACCCCATAACCACCGTGAATGGAACTCTATGGAGATGCCACCACCCTGTGGCTCCCTACCTGGCTTCTTGGCGATGCTGCGGCTGATGGGAGAGGGCAGGTCCCTGTGCTGGACCTTGCAGTTGAAGGCGATCCCGTTCTCCCAGTCGCTGGTGGACACCAGGACCTCTCTGGTGGCCGTGAAGGTGCCGTTGAACTGGGCCTTGACTTGGAGGAGGTTGGAGCTCAGGGTCCGGCCTTGGTCCTTGCTCCAGGTGATCTCCAGGCCCTCGTCACTGGGTAAACTGGTGGCCACGCAGCGGAGCCGGGGGCTCTGGGACACGTAAAGGTCCAATGGGGACGGGGGCAGGACGAAGACTTGGATGGCGCTCGAGTCCGGAGGGGTGCCTGGCAAGGGGAGAGGAGACCAATGGAGGTGCCGCCATCCAAAGGGGCTCCGGTTGGGCCCTATGGAGGTGCCACCACCCAACTGAAGGTCAATGGGGCCCTATGGAGGTGCCACCACCCAATGAAGCCCAATGGAGACGCCACCACCCAACAAAGTCAATGGAACCCAACGAAGATGCCACCACCCAATGAAGTCAATGGAACCCAACGGAGATGCCACCACCCAATGAAGACCCCACCACCAAATGAAGCCAATGGAACCCAATGGAGCCCCCACCACCCAATGGAGCCCAATGAAGACCCCACCACCCAATGAAGCCAATGGAACCCAATGAAGCCCCCACCACCCAATGGAGCCCAATGAAGACCCCACCACCCAACAAAGCCCCCACCACTCAACGAAGTCAATAGAACCCAATGGAGCCCCCACCACCCAATGAAGCCCCCACCACCCAATGAAGCCCCCACCACCCAATGAAGCCCCCACCACCCAATGAAGCCCCCACCACCCAACGAAGCCAATGGAACCCAATGGAGCCCCCACCACCCAATGAAGCCCCCACCACCCAACGAAGCCAATGGAACCCAATGGAGCCCCCACCACCCAATGAAGTCCCCACCACCCAATGAAGCCAATGGAACCCAATGAAGCCAATGGAACCCAATGGAGCCCCCACCACCCAATGAAGCCCCCACCACCCAACGAAGCCAATGGAACCCAATGGAGCCCCCACCACCCAATGAAGCCCCCACCACCCAATGAAGCCAATGGAACCCAATGGAGCCCCCACCACCCAACGAAGACCCCACCACCCAACGGAGCCCAATGCAACGCAATGGAGCCCCCCACCACCCACCGGAGCCCCATGGAGCCCTCCAGGTCCGCACTCACTGAAGCATTTGCTGGCGGGCACCTCGAGGCTGGTGCTGGTGCCCGGGTGGGTGACGCCGCACGCCACGGTCTTCTCCTGCCATTGGTCCATGGTGAGGTTGAGGCGGGCGCTGGCCCGGAAGGTCCCGTCCGCGTTGGGGCCCTCGATGAGGAGCGGGGCCGGGTCCACGGGCACCGAGTCCAGGAGCCATTGGAGGCGCAGGGGGAGAGGGGAGAAGCCCGAGGCCGAGCAGAGGAGGTGGACGGAGCCCCCGGAGCAGGAGTGGAGGACCTCGAGGTGGGGGGGGAGAGAGCGGGAGGGGGGGGACACTGGGGGGGGGGGTGGAGGGGGGTGAGGAGGAGGAGGAGGAGATGGAGGAGGAAGAAGAGAGGAGAAGAGAAGGAGATGAAGATGGAGGAGGAAGAGAAGGAGAAGGAGGAGGAGAAGATGGAGAAGAGAAGAAGAAGAGATGGAGAAGGAGATGGAGGAGGAAGAAGAGAAGGAGAAGATGGAGAAGAAGGAGATGGGGGAGGAAGAGATGGAGAAGGGAGAGAAGAAGGAGGAAGAGAAGATGGAGGAGGAAGAAGATAAGATGGAGGAGAAGATGGAAAAGGGGAGATGGAGGAGAAGGAGATGGAGGAGATGAAGATGGAGAAGAGAAGGAGAAGAGATGGAGGAGAAGGAGATGGAGGAGGAGGAGGAAGAGATGGAGGAGGAAGAAGAGAGGAGAAGGAGAAGAGAAGGAGATGGAGATGGAGGAGGAAGAGAAGGAGAAGGAGGAGGAGAAGATGGAGAAGAGAAGAAGAAGAGATGGAGGAGATGGAGATGGAGGAGGAAGAGGAAGAGATGGAGGAGGAAGAAGAGAAGGAGAAGATGGAGAAGAAGGAGATGGGGGAGGAAGAGGAAGAGATGGAGAAGGAAGAAGAGAGAAGAAGGAGGAAGAGAAGATGGAGGAGGAAGAAGAGAAGATGGAGGAGAAGATGGAAAAGAGGAGATGGAGGAGAAGGAGATGGAGGAGAAGATGAAGATGGAGAAGATAAGGAGAAGAGATGGAGGAGAAGGAGATGGAGGAGGAGGAGGAAGAGATGGAGGAGGAAGAAGAGAGGAGAAGGAGAAGAGAAGGAGATGGAGATGGAGGAGGAAGAGAAGGAGAAGGAGGAGGAGAAGATGGAGAAGAGAAGAAGAAGAGATGGAGGAGATGGAGATGGAGGAGGAAGAGGAAGAGATGGAGGAGGAAGAAGAGAAGGAGAAGATGGAGAAGAAGGAGATGGGGGAGGAAGAGGAAGAGATGGAGAAGGAAGAAGAGAGAAGAAGGAGGAAGAGAAGATGGAGGAGGAAGAAGAGAAGATGGAGGAGAAGATGGAAAAGAGGAGATGGCGGAGAAGGAGATGGAGGAGAAGATGAAGATGGAGAAGATAAGGAGAAGAGATGGAGGAGAAGGAGATGGAGGAGGAGGAGGAAGAGATGGAGGAGGAAGAAGAGAGGAGAAGGAGAAGAGAAGGAGATGGAGATGGAGGAGGAAGAGAAGGAGAAGGAGGAGGAGAAGATGGAGAAGAGAAGAAGAAGAGATGGAGGAGATGGAGATGGAGGAGGAAGAGGAAGAGATGGAGGAGGAAGAAGAGAAGGAGAAGATGGAGAAGAAGGAGATGGGGGAGGAAGAGGAAGAGATGGAGAAGGAAGAAGAGAGAAGAAGGAGGAAGAGAAGATGGAGGAGGAAGAAGAGAAGATGGAGGAGAAGATGGAAAAGAGGAGATGGAGGAGAAGGAGATGGAGGAGAAGATGAAGATGGAGAAGAGAAGGAGAAGAGATGGAGGAGAAGGAGATGGAGGAGGAAGAGATGGAGGAGGAAGACGAGAAGAAGGAGAAGAGAAGGAGATGGAGGAGGGCAAGGACAAGGAAAAGGAGAGGAAAATGGAGGAGAAGATGGAAGAGGAAGAGGATGAAAAGGGGAAGGTGGAGGACATAAAGAAGAGCAAGTTTAACCCCACTTCACCCCGTTTAAACCTCATTTAGCCCAATTTTAACCGATTTCAACCCATTTTAACCCCATTATAACCCATTTTAACACATTATAACCCATTTTAACACATTATAACCCATTTTAACTGAACTTTACACCGTTTTAACCCATTTTACCCCAATTTAACCCATTTTATCCTCATTTTAACACCATTTACACCCATTTACCCAATTTAACCCCTTTATAACCTATTTTACCCTGGTTTACCCCATATCACCACATTTTACACCATTTTAACCCCATTTAAGACCAGTTTAAACCCATTTCCCCCCTTTCAACCCATTATACCCCATTTTAACCCAATTTTATCCTATTTTAGCCCCATTTCACCCCATTATAACCCCCTTATCCCCCATTATAACCCCATTATACCCCATTATCCCCCATTATAACCCCATTATACCCCATTATACCCCATTATAACCCCATTATACCCCATTATACCCCATTATACCCCATTATAACCCCATTATACCCCATTATAACCCCATTATACCCCATTATACCCCATTATAACCCCATTATAACCCCATTATAACCCCATTATACCCCATTATACCCCATTATACCCCATTATACCCCATTAAACCCCATTATACCCCATTATAACCCCCTATAACCCCATTATAACCCCATTATACCCCATTATAACCCCATTATATCCCCATTATACCCCATTAAGCCCCATTATACCCCATTATACCCCATTATACCCCATTATAACCCCATTATACCCCATTATACCCCATTAAACCCCATTATAACCCCATTATACCCCATTAAACCCCATTATAACCCCATTATTCCCCATTATAACCCCATTACACTCCATTTTCACCCCATTTTTACCCCATTCCCCCCCATTCCCCCATCACTCACCATTGACGACCACGCTGCCGCTGAACCCCGTGGCCCGGTGCCCCACGGCGCACGTGGCCTCCCTCTGCCCCACAGGCACCGCCACGGCGCTCGCCTGCCTATAGCGCCCCTCGGTGGGCCTAGAGGCCGGGTACGAGGGGGGGGGCACGGATGGGGGTCCCCCCCCGGCCATGGTCCAGGTCATGGTCACGGGCAATGGGGTGAAGCCGGACGCCAGGCACCCCGCTATGGGGCTCGCTGTGGGGCCGGCGCCGCAGGACACCAATGGGAACAGCGAAGGGGACGTCGCGGGCGCTGCAGTGGGGAGGGAGCATATAGGGGGCGTTAGAGCATCGTAAGGGGGACCCATAGGCACCTAATGGCACCCATAGGCACCTATAGGGACCCATAGGCACCTATAGGGACCCATAGGGACTCATAGGGACCTAATGGCTCCCATAGGGACCTATAGGGACACATAGGGACCTAAGGCACCCATAGGCACCTATAGGCACCCATAGGGACCCATAGGGACTCATAGGGACCTAATGCCTCCCATAGGGACCCATAGGGACCTAATGGCACCCATAGGGACCCATAGGGACCCAATAGCACCCATAGGGACCCATAGGGACATAATGGGTTAGGGTTAGGGCTCCATGGGCACCTTAAAAGCACCCATAGGGACCTAATGGCACCCATAGGGACCCATACTGACCCATAAGGACCCATACTGACCTATAGGGATCCATAGGGACCTAATGGCACCCATAGGGACCCATAAGAACCCATAGGCACCTATAGGGACCCATAGGGACCCCAAGGGACCCTAAGACCATCTTAAGAGCACCCAAAGGCACCTTAATGGGACCTTAAGGGCAACATGGGCACCTTAAGAGCACCCATAGGGACCCCAAAGTGACCCATAGGGACCCCATAGCACCCACAGGGACCTTGAGGAGCCCCCCTGCCCTATAGGGACCCCCCTACACTATAGGGACCCCATAGTACAGCTCAGCTGCCCTATAGGGACCCCCCTGCCCTATAGGTCCCCCCCTGCTCTATAGGGTCCCTATAGTACAGCTCAGCTGCCCCCTATAGCCCTTCCCTGCCCCATAGCAACCCCCTGGCCTATAGGGACCCCTGCCCCTATAGGGACCCCTGCCCTATAGGTCCCCCCCTGCTCTATAGGGTCCCTATAGCACAGCTCAGCTGCCCCATAGGGAACCCCTGCCCTATAGGTCCCCCCCTGCTCTATAGGGTCCCTATAGTACAGCTCAGCTGCCCCCTATAGCCCTCCCCTGCCCTATAGCAACCCCCTGCCCTATAGGGACCCCTGCCCTATAGGTCCCCCTTGCTCTACAGGGTATAGTACAGCTCAGCTGCCCCATAGGGACCCCCTGCCCTGTAGGTCCCCCCCTGCTCTATAGGGTCCCTATAGCACAGCTCAGCTGGAGCCAGCCCCATAGGGACCCCCTGCTCCATAGGGACCCCTGCTTTATAGGGTCCCTATAGCACAGCTCAGCTGCCCTATAGGGACCCCCTGCCCCATAGGTACCCCCCCTGCTCTATAGGGTCCCTATAGTACAGCTCAGCTGCCCCCTATAGCCCTCCCCTGCCCCATAGTAACCCCCTGCCCTATAGGGACCCCTGCCCCATAGGGACCCCTGCCCTATAGGTCCCCCCTGCTCTATAGGGTCCCTATATCACAGCTCAGCTGCCCCATAGGGAACCCCTGCCCTATAGGTCCCCCCCTGCTCTATAGGGTCCCTATAGCACAGCTCAGCTGGAGCCAGCCCCATAGGGACCCCCTGCTCCATAGGGACCCCCTGCTTTATAGGGTCCCTATAGCACAGTTCAGCTGCCCCATAGGGACCCCCTGCCCTATAGGTCCCCCCTGCTCTATAGGGTCCCTATAGTACAGCTCAGCTGCCCCCTATAGGGACCCCATAGGGACCCCTGCCCTATAGGTCCCCCCTGCTCTATAGGGTCCCTATAGCACAGCTCAGCTGCCCCATAGGGACCCCTGCCCTATAGGTCCCCCCTGCTCTATAGGGTCCCTATAGCACAGCTCAGCTGCCCCATAGGGAACCCCTGCCCTATAGGTCCCCCCTGCTCTATAGGGTCCCTATAGCACAGCTCAGCTGCCCCATAGGGACCCATGCCCTATAGGTTCCCCTTGCTCTATAGGGTCCCTATAGCACAGCTCAGCTGCCCCATAGGGACCCATGCCCTATAGGTTCCCCTTGCTCTATAGGGTCCCCATAGCACAGCTCAGCTGCCCCATAGGGACCCCTGCCCCATAGGTCCCCCACTGCTCTATAGGGTCCCTGTAGTACAGCTCAGCGGGACCCATAGGGACCCCCTGCTCTATAGTGACCCCTGCCCCATAGGGACCCCATAGCACAGCTCAGCTGGATCCAGCCCCATAGAAACCCCTGCTCCATAGGAACCCCTTGCTCTATAGGGTCTCTATAGCACAGCTCAGCTGGAGCCAGCCCCATAGGGACCCCCTGCCCCATAGGGATCCCTGCTCTATAGGGACCCCATAGCACAGCTCAACTGCCCCATAGGGACCCTCTGCCCTATAGGGACCCTTACACTATAGGGACCCCATAGCACAGCTCAGCTGGAGCCAGCCCCATAGAAAACCCTGCCCCATAGGGACCCTCTACTCTATAGGGAACCCTGCCCCATAGGATCCCCTACACTATAGGGACCCCATGGTACCGCTCAGCTGCCCCCCTGCCCCATAGTGAGCTTCTGCCCCATAGCAAGCCCCTGCCCCATAAATCCCCCTTCCCCATAGGGTCTTCTACCCCATAGGAGCCCCACACTATAGCTTAGCTGTATCTAGCCCCATAGCGGACTCCCTGCCCTATAGGGACCCATAGAGACCCCATAGAGCCCCATAGAGCTCCATAGGGGCCCCCAGCCCCATAGAGCCCCATAGGGACCCCCATCCCCATAGAGCCACATAGGGCCCCATAGGGTTCCCCAGACCCATAGAGACCCATAGAGACCCATAGCAATCCCCAGCCCCATAGAGTCCTGCAGAGGCCCATAATGCCCCATAGGGACCCCAGCCCCATAGAGCCCCATAGGGAAAGCCTTACCCGCATGGCAGCAGCTCTGCCCCACACATGGTGCAATGAGGCCCTTCCCCCCAACACTTCCTGTTTCCTGCCTGACACCTGCTGTGGGGCAGCCCCATGGCTCCCCATAGAGACCCATAGGGACCCATAGAGCCCAGTTTAAAACCAGTTTAAGTCAATTTTAAACCCATTTTAACCCCAATTCAAGCCGATTTTAAACCCATTTTAAGTCCATTTTAAACCCACTTTAAGCCAATTTTAAGCCCATTTTAAGTCCATTTTAAACCCATTTTAAGTCCATTTTAAACCCATTTTAAGTGCATCTTAAGTCCATTTTAAACCCATTTTAAGTCCATTTTAAACCCACTTTAAGTCCATTTTAAGCCCATTTTAAGTCCATTTTAAACCCACTTTAAGCCCATTTTAAGTCCATTCTAAACCCACTTTAAGCCCATTCCAAGCTCAGTTTAACCCCAATTCAACCCCACTTTAAGCCCAATTTTACCCTATTTAAATCTGTTTAAAACCCAGTTGAACCCCAGTTCAAGCCCATTTTAAGTCCATTTTAAGTCCATTTTAAACCCACTTTAAGCCCATTTTAAACCCACTTTAAGTCCATTTTAAACCCACTTTAAGCCAATTTTAAGCCCATTTTAAACCCATTTTAAGTCCATTTTAAACCCATTTTAAGCCCATTTTAAGCCAATTTTAAACCCACTTTAAGCCCATTTTAAGCCCATTTTAAGTCCATTTTAAACCCACTTTAAGCCCGTTTTAAGTCCATTCTAAACCCACTTTAAGCCCATTCCAAGCTCAGTTTAACCCCAATTCAACCCCACTTTAAGCCCAATTTTACCCTATTTAAAGCCGTTTTAAACCCAGTTTAACCCCAGTTCAAGCCCATTTTAAGTCCATTTTAACCCCAATTTCACCCCAGTTTAAACCTAGTCTAATCCAAATTTAAACAAATTTAACCCCAATTCAAGCCCAGTTTAAGCCCAATTTAAGACCATTTTAAGCCCAATTTAAACCATTTTAAACCCAATCTAAGCCCACTTTAACCCCACTTTAAGACCATTTTAAGTCCATTTTAAGCCCAATTTAAGCCCACTTTAAGGCCTCTTTAACCGCAATTTAAGCCCAGTTTAACCCCACTTTAAGCCCTTCTTAACCCCAATTCAAGCCCAGTTTAACCCCATTTTAACCCCAATTTAACCCATTTAAGCCCAGTTTAACCCCAATTCAAACCCAGTTTAACCCCACTTTAAACCCAATTCAAGCCCACTTTAAGCCCACTTTAGCCCCACTTTAAGCCCACTTTAGCCCCATTTTAACCCCAATTCAAACCCAGTTTAACCCCACTTTAACCCCAATTCAAGCCCACTTTAAGCCCACTTTAGCTCCATTTTAAGCCCAGTTTAACCCCATTTTAAACCCAGTTTAACCCCATTTTAAGCCCACTTTAACCCCAATTCAAGCCCACTTTAACCCCATTTTAAGCCCATTTAAAGCCCACTTTACCACCCCTTTAAGCCCCATTTACCCTCTCACCATTGCTCCTCCACCTCCTCCTGCCTCCTCTCCTTGCGTCCCCATTGCCCCTATGGGGTGACCCCATTGAGGAGCTGGGAACCAGACCTAGGCGGAACTTCCCACCCCATTGACCTGCTCCTATGGGGCACGGGGCTCCCGCTTCCTCTTTGGGGCCACCACCAAACCCACTTCTCCTTTAGGGCCTTATGGAGCCTCCCCCATTGACTTCTCCTTTAGCTCCTTCCGTCCCCATTGACCCCCTTGAGGTCCCCATTGACCCCCTTTGGGTCCTTCCATCCCCATTGACCCCCTTTAGGTCCCCATTGACCCCCTTTAGCTCCTTCCATCCCCATTGACCCCCTTTAGCTCCTTCCATCCCCATTGACCCCCTTTAGCTCCTTCCATCCCCATTGACCCCCTTTAGCTCCTTCCATCCCCATTGACCCCCTTTAGCTCCTTCCATCCCCATTGACCCCCTTTAGCTCCTTCCATCCCCATTGACCCCCTTTAGGTCCCCATTGACCCCCTTTAGCTCCTTCCATCCCCATTGACCCCCTTTAGGTCCCCATTGACCCCCTTTAGGTCCCCATTGACCCCCTTTAGCTCCGTCCATCCCCATTGACCCCCTTTAGGTCCCCATTGACCTCCTCCTATGGGTCCTCAATGGTGTCTCCTTCCCCATTGCAGACCCAGCCACCTCTCCCCATGTCTACCCATTGCTGCCCTGCGACTGCCTGGACCCGGTCTCCATTGGCTGCTTGGCCAAGGGCTTCCTCCCAACGCCCATCTCCATCACTTGGGTCTCCAACGTGGGGGGGGACGTCGAGACCTTCCCCAGCCAATGGATCCAGAGCTCCTACAGCGCCAGCTCCCAGTTGATCGTCCCGGCCACCAGTTTGAATGGGGAGAGCTTCCAGTGCAAGGTGGAGCACAGCAGCACCCACAGCAGCACCACGGAGGTCATCGAAGGTGGGTTGGTGGGCATCTACTATGGGTTGGTGGGCATCTACTATGGGTTGGTGGGCATCTACTATGGGTTGGGGGCATCTACTATGGGTTGGGGGCATCTAACATGGGTTGGTGGGCATCTACTATGGGTTGGTGGGCATCTACTATGGGTTGGTGGGCATCTACTATGGGTTGGGGGCATCTACTATGGGTTGGGGGCATCTAACATGGGTTGGTGGGCATCTACTATGGGTTGGTGGGCATCTACTATGGGTTGGGGGCATCTACTATGGGTTGGTGGGCATCTACTATGGGTTGGGGGCATCTACTATGGGTTGGTGGGCATCTACTATGGGTTGGGGGCATCTACTATGGGTTGGGGGCATCTAACATGGGTTGGTGGGCATCTAACATGGGTTGGTGGGCATCTACTATGGGTTGGTGGGCATCTACTATGGGTTGGTGGGCATCTACTATGGGTTGGGGGCATCTACTATGGGTTGGGGGCATCTAACATGGGTTGGTGGGCATCTACTATGGGTTGGTGGGCATCTACTATGGGTTAGGGGCATCTATGGCCACATCACTATGGGTTGGTGGGCATCTACTATGGGTTGTGGGCATCTACTATGGGTTAGGGGCATCTATTATGGGTTGGGGGCATCTATATGGCATCTACATGGGTTGGTGGGCATCTATGGGTTGGGGGCATGGCCACCACTATGGGTTGGTGGGCATCAATGGACTACCACCATGGCTCAACATGGGTTGGTGGGCATCACCATCCATGGGTTGGGGGCATCTACTATGGGTTGGTGGGCATCTACTATGGGTCAATGGCCACCACTATGGCTCAACGGCCACCACTATGAGTCAATGGCCACCACTATGGGTCGATGGCCACCACTATGGCTCAATGGCCACCACCATGGCTCAACGGCCACCATTATGGGTCAATGGCCACCACTATGAGTCAACGGCCACCACTATGAGTCAATGGCCACCACTATGGGTCAATGCCCCCCCATAACCTCCTCCCCCCCCCTTTAGGTTCCCAAGTCTGCCCCCCCCACCTGTTGTCCATGAGGCTGTTGGCCGACCCCAACCAGGAGCACCCCGAGGGGGACGTCCTCCTGCTGTGCCTCATCGAGGGCCATGGGGCGGCGGGCGCCAAGGTGGAGTGGTTGGAGAACCAAGAGCCGATGGCGGTGGAGCGGGAGGACGTGGGCTGCGAGCGCTGCAACGGCACGGCGGAGTCCGGCGCGAGGAGCGCGGTGAACGTGAGCAGGGCCAAGTGGGAGCTGGGCACCCGGTTCTCCTGCAGGGTGACCCACAAGGGGCTGGGCGCCCCCAAGGAGCTCAGCATCAGCAGCTTCTGCTCGGGTAGGTGTGGGGTGGATGGGGGGGGAGATGGGGGGCGATGGGGATGGATGGAGATGGGTGATTGATGATGGTGGATGATGACTGGAGATGACGGAGATGGAAACGTGAGGAAAATTGGGTAAAACACTGGTCAAATTGAGGTGGGTTTGGGGAAATCTGGAGAAATTCAACGGAAATTTGGGGAAATCTGGGGAAAATTGTGGAAATCTGGTGGAATCCGAGGGAAATTTGTGTAAATCTGGTGGAAACTCGTGGAAACCTGGGAAAATGTGGGGGGGGAAGCCGATGGAATGGGGTAGAATTTGCCCAGATGCCGACGTCCGGAGCCCCTCGACCCCCTTGCAGAGCCCAAGCCCGTGGTGGACGTCTCCATCCTGCCCCCGTCGCTGGAGGACCTGTACCTGCATCAGAATTCCAGCCTCACCTGCGTGGTTTCCAACCTCAAATCCCATTGGGACGTGAAGTTCTCCTGGAGCCGGGATAAAGGCAGCTCATTGGACGCGGTGGCGGGGCCCTTGGAGAAGCTGCCCAATGGGCTCTATCGGCTCAGCAGCTCCCTGGGGGTCTGTGCCGAGGAGTGGAACTCGGGGGAGAGGTTCTCATGCACCGTCAGCATCCCGGAGCTCCAGGAACCAATCACCAGGTCCATCCGGAAGGAGCTAGGTAGGGCACGGAGCTGCGGATCCATGGGGCTTGGATGGGGGCGACGTCAACTGGAAGGGGCATCCAATGGGGATGGTCGACTGGGAGATGATGGCCAACTGGTGGGGTCGAAGCCCGTTGGAGGGGCCTAAACCCATTGGGATATCCAATAGGGACGGTCTACTGGGAAATGATGGTCAACTGGTGGGGTCTATGCCCCATAGGAAGGATCTAAACCCCATAGGAAGGGTCTAAAACCCATTGGAAGGGTCTAAAGCTCATTGGAAGAGGTTGGTCTGGAGGAAGATCTTGGTCTATTGGAAGGGTCTAAGTCAACTGGAAGGGTCTAAGGCCATTGGGGCATCCAACGGGGATGGTCTACTGGAAGACGATGGTCAGCTAAGCCCATTGGAAGGGTCTAAAGCCCATTGGAAGAGGTTGGTCTACTGGAAGACGATGGTCAACAGAGCCGATAGGAAGGGTCTAAGTCAACTGGAAAGGTCTAAACCCATTGGGGCATCCAACAGGGATGGTCTACTGGAAGACTATGGTCAACTAAGCCCATTGGAAGGGCCTAAAGCCCATTGGAAGTGGTTGGTCTACTGGGAGACGATGGTCATCTAAGCCTATAGGAAGGGTCCAAGTCAACTGGAAGGGTCTAAACCCACCGGGACATCCAACGGGGATGGTCTACTGGGAGGTGATGGCCAACTAAGCCCCATAGGAAGGGTCTAAACCCCATAGGAAAGGCCCAATCCCAGCCTCCTTGACCTCCTCTCCCGCCTCCCCCATAGCCACCGTGGTGAGGCCCCCATCGGTCTACGTCTTCCCGCCCCCCGCCGACGAGCTGTCCCTCCAAGAGACGGCCACGTTGACCTGCTTGGCCACCGGCTTCACCCCAAGGGACATCCTGCTCACTTGGACCCACCAGGACCGCCCCGTGCCCTCCGGGAGCTTCACCACCTTCGGCCCCGAAGCCGACGGCGACGCCTTCAGCCTCTATAGCCTGCTAAGGGTGCCGGTGGCGGAGTGGCAACGGGGGGACTCCTTCGCCTGCGTGGTTGGGCACGAAGGGATCCCATTGACCTTCATCCAGAAGAACATGGACAAGAGCCTGGGTAAACCCACCATGGTCAACGTCTCCGTGGTGCTCAGCGACACCGACGTCACCTGCTACTAAGCCGGGCCCTCATTGGGTGGGATGGGTTGTCGTTCCGCGCCCCAATAAAGGCTGATCCCAACGGAAGGCCGTTGGCCAACTCTTGGTTGAAGGGGGAGCGCTCCGTTGCCGGGTGGGGTGGTGGGGACGTGGTTATGGGGTTGGCATCTCAATAGGGGGTGGGGGCGGGCATGTCCGGATGGGAAAAGACCCCAGAATGGTGGGGTTTCAACCCAAAATGGGCCTCAAGAGGGTCAATGGGATGGGGTTGGCCAACGGGATGGGGATGGGGAATAACAGGGGTGGTTGGTGGTCACTTTGGGCACAGGGAGGGTTGGAGAAGGATGGGGTGGGAAATGGGTGGGAAAGACCAAAAATGGGGGTTTTTGGGGGTGTTCAACAAAGACCTTCATGGTCCCTTTGCTTGTAAGAGGTTTTTGGGTAGAAAATGGCCAAAATTGGCCCAAAATGGTGGTTTTTTTGGGTGTCCACCAAAGACCTTCATGGTCACTTCGCTTATAGGAGGGTTTTGGGTGGAAAATGGCCAAAACTGGCCCAAATTGCTGGGGGGTTTTGTGTATCCACCAATGATCCTCATGGTTCCTTTGCTGTAGGACACTTTTGGTCAAGAATTGGGTGGAAAAGGGGTCAAAATGACAAAAAATGGTGCTTTTTTGGGATGGCCACCAAAGAACCTCATGGCCATCTTGATCATAGGAGGGTTTTGGTCAAGAATTGGGCGAAAAATGGGGTAAAATGGCCCCAAATGGTGGGGTTTTGGGGTGCCCACCACAGAGCCTTGTGATCCCTTCACTAAGAGGATAATTTTGGTCAAGAATTGGGTGGAAAACAGCCCAGTTTGGCCCAAAACAGTGGTTTCTTGGTGATGCACCAAAGAACTCCAGGTCGCTCGGCTCACGGGAGGGTTTTGGTCAAGAATTGGGTGGGAAATGGGCGAAAATGGGCCAAAAGTGGCCTCGAAAAGGGTGGTTTTTGGTCGTGTCCTCCCCATTGAAGCCTTCTTCTCCCACCCCAGATCCCGACCTGGTCCCGGTGGGAGAGGAGGAGGAAGGGGAGGGAGAAGAGGAAGGCGCCAGCGACCTATGGACGGCCGTGACCTTCATCATCCTCTTCCTCCTCAGCCTCTGCTACAGCACCGGGGTCACCCTCTTCAAGGTGACCATGGGGGGGGAAATTAGGGCCTATTAATCATTAATTGGGGCTTACTAATCATTAATTAGGGGTCATTAATAACTAATTAAGGGCTAATAACTGCTTATCAATAATGAGTTAAGGTCTAATGATGATTAATTAAGGCGTATTAATCATTAATTAAGGTTCACTAATCATTAGTTATTAATTAATGGTTAATAATTATTATTTAGGGCTTACTAATCATTAATTAAGGCTTACTGATGACTAATTAAGGGCTATTTATTTATTAAGGTTTACTAATGATTAATTAAAGCTTATTAATCATATTATTAAGGTTCATTAATGACCATTTAATCATTAACCAAGGCTGATTGAGCATTACTTAAAGCTTCATGAATTAAGGATGATGAATGATTACTTCAGGCTCATCAATCACTAAGGCCAACTAATCATGATTAATGATTAATTAAGGCCTATTGATCCTTCATTAAGGCTGATTAATCGTTAACAAAGCCAATTAATCTTAAATAAGGCTGATTAATGATTAATTAGGCCTGATTCATCACTAACGAAGCCATTTTGTGTCCCATAGGTGCTGTGAGAGGAGGAAGACCCCATCCTTGGGTTGCCCACGCTTGGCCATGTTCTTTGGGGGGGATTCAAGGAATAAAATGGATCACCATTTTCCACCCAAATTTACCCATTTTCTTGATGTTCCACCCCAAAACTCTCACCAAAATCCCCAAAATCACCATTTTCCAACTCTATTTACCCATTTTCTTGCTGTTTCACCCCAAAACTCCCACCAAACCACCATTTTCCACCCAAATTTACCCATTTTCTCACCGTTTCACCCCAAAACTCATCTCAGACTCCCATAAAAGCCCATTTCCCAGCCTTCACCCCACGGTGCGGACGTGCAGCAGAAACCCCAAACCCCACGTTTCTGGCCCCCCCAAAACCCCTCCAGATGGTGTTTGTCATCAGCCAAGGTTTCATTTCTCCTCTTTCTTCTCAGTTTCGGGTCATTTTGGGCAGGTTTGAGTCATTTTGGGGGTCAGGAGATGCTGTTCCCACCACTGTGAACACCTGGATGGGCCCCATTGAGGTTCCCCTTTGAGTCAGCACCAAGATGGGGGAAACCAATGGGAGGGCCGTTAGGAGCCTTTAAAGGGGGTGGAGAAGCCAGTGGTGGCCAACACAACCCAACAGTGGTCAACACAACCCAACGGGGGTCAACGCAACCCAACGGGGGTCAATGCAACACGATGGTGGCCAACGCAACCCAATGGTGGCCAATGCAACCCAATGTTGGCCAAAGCAACCCAATGGTGGCCAAAGCAACCCACTGGGGGTCAATGCAACCCAATGGTGGCCAAAGCAACCCAGTGGTTGTCAATGCAACCCAATGGGGGTCAATGCAACCCAATGGTGGCCAACGCAACCCAATGGTGGCCAACACAACCCACACAACCCAACCTGAAGCCAAGTGACCCCATAGAGCCCCATAGGGCCACCAAAACTACTCTTAGGAGCAGGAATCCCATTGGAATGCCCTGAATCTACCCTAGGAACAGGAATCCCATTGGAAAACCCATGGAAAAGAGGGAAAATGTGGAAAACTTTATTTATTAGGAGGAAACTATTTACAACAGGGAGGAAAAGGACAAGAATCCCACAGAATTCCATCGATATCCAGCACTGGAGGGGATGAGAGGTGGAATTCCATCGGAATGGGGTTATTTCACCTGGGATAGGGGGAAAAAAATGGGAATTCTTTGGTTATTTGGGACTAATGGGGATTTTAGGGAAAATCTGGGGGAAATAAGAGGGATTTTAGGGAAAATTGGGGTGGAAACCAGGGATTTCAGGGATACACAGAGGGAAAATAGGGATTTTCTGGGAAGGAAGGGGAGGGAAATAGGGGTTTAGGAGAAATGAAGGGTTTAGCAAGGATTGGGGGGGGGGAAATTGGGATATTTTGTAAGGATAAAGGGAAAAATAGGGATTCCTTGCAAGGATATGGGGGAAATAGGGCTCTTTTGAGGAAATTAGGGTAAAAATAAGGATCTTTGTCAAGAATTACGGAAAATCAGGAATTTCAGCAAGAATTAGGATAAAAGTAAGGATTTTGGGCAAGAACTGGGGAAAACCAGGAATTCTTGACAATAATTATAGGAGAAATAGGGATTTGAGGCAATTAAGGGGAAAATAGGGATTTGGCAAGAATTAGGGCAAAACCAGGGATCTGGGGCAAGAACTGTGGGAAAACAGGGATACTTGGAGGAAATCAGGGTAAAAATATGCATTTATGGGGTTTTTTTAGGAAATTTGTGGAAAATGGGGTTTTTTGATGAAATTTGTGGGAAATGTGGGCTTTTGGGGTGACATTTGGGGAAAACCAGGGATTATTGTGCTGAAATTTGGGGAATCGGGGATCTGTGGGAGACCAGTTGGAAAAAAAGGGTATTTTGAGTGGGAGAAGCAATGGGGGGGTGGAAAATGGGGTGAAAAAGAGGGGGTTTGGGCCCACCTTGATCAAGGTGACGGTAGCGCTGTAGAAGAGGCTGAGGATGAAGAGGACGATGAAGGTCGAGGCCGTGGCCCAAAGGTTCTCGAGGTCTTCCTCTTCCTCCTCCTCCTCCTCCCCCTTGGGGAGCTCTATGGGGGGCAAAACAGGGGGGGTTGGGGTGAATTCCGGGGATGTGGGGTACGTATGGCATCAAAAATGGGGTTTTAGGGGGGCAGAAAGGAGATGGAGCCCGAAATATGGGGTTTGGATCCCAAAATATGGGGGTTATGCAGCAAAATATGGGTTTGGGGTCCAAACTATGGGTTTGGATCCTAAAATAGGGGGTTTATAGCCCTAAATATGGGGTTTACAGCCCAAAATCTGGGTTTTATAGCCCAAAATAGGGAGTTATGCATAAAATATAGGGGTTATACATCAAAATATGGGGTTGGACACTGAAATAAGGGGGTTATACACAGAAATATGGGGTTTAGAGCCCAAAATATGGGTTTGGATATCAAAATATGGGGTTTATGGCCCAAAATATACCCCTAAAACCCCTCTTTTGACCCTAAAACCCCCTTTGCCACCCAAACCCTCCTTTTATAGCTATAAATCGATTTTTATAGCCCTTTTCCACCCCTAAACCCCCTTTTATAGCCTCAAAACAGACTTTTCCACCCCAGAAACCCCTTTTCCACCCCTAAAACCCCCTTTTCCACCCCTAAACCTCTTTTGTAGTCCCCAAAACAACTTTTCCACCCCAAAATTGCCTTTTATAGCCATTTTCCACCTGTAACCCCCCCTTTTCACACCCTAAAGCCCCTTTTCCATCCCAAACCCCTCATTTACAACCCCAAACCCCCAATTTCCACCCAAAGCAACCCTTTCCCCCCGAACCCCCCCCACTTCTCCCTGAAAATCCTTTTCCATCCCATTTCCATCCCAAATCCCCCGTTTCAACCCCTAAAATCCCCTTTTCCACCTCAAAACACCTTTTCCAATCTTGGAACACCCTTTTCTCTCCCAAAACCCGCACTTCCAGCCCCCCCAAACGCCCCTTTTCCACCCCAAAACCCCCCATTTCCACCTCAAATGCCCTTTTTCAACCCCAAAACCGTTTTCCACGCCATTTCCACCCCAAACCTCTCATTTTCACCCCAAAACCTCCTTTTCCTCCCCAAATCCCCTCTTTTCCTCCCCAAGCCCTGCCTTTTCCTTCCAAAATCCCCTCTTCCTCCCCATTCCCACCCCAAACCCCCTCTTTTCCACCCCAAAATTCCCTTTACCAACCCTTTCTCACCCCAAAACCTTTTTCCACCCCGAATTCTCCTTTTTTGCCCCATTCCCACCCCAAATCCCCTCTTTTCCTCCCAAATTCCCCTTTTCCACCCCATCCCCTCCCAAACCCCCTTTTCCCACCCCAAATTCCCCTTTTCCACCTCACCCCCTCCCCTCCCAAACCCCCCTTTTTACACCCCAAATTCCACTTTACCACCCCATTCCCACCCCAAATCCCCCCTTTTCCCACCCCAAACCCCCTTTTCCACCTGAAAACCCCCTTTTCCCACCCCAAATTCCCCTTTTCCACCCCAAATCCCCCCTTTTCCTCCCAAATCCTGCCTTTCCCACCCCAAAACCCCCTTTTCCCACCCCAAATTCCCCTTTTCCCACCCCAAATTCCCCTTTTCCCACCCCAAATTCCCCTTTTCCACCCCATTCCCACCCCAAATTCCCCTTTTCCACCCCAAATCCCCCCATTTCCTCCCAAATCCCCCCTTTTCCTCCCAAATCCCCCCTTTTCCCACCCCAAACCCCCTTTTCCCACCCCAAAACCCCCCCCCCACCACGATCCCTCCGCATCCCTTCGCTCTCCATCATTCCATAAAAACACCGTTTTATTGCTCAATTCCGGGGCCCGGCCCCCCCCCCCACCCCCCATTCCCTTTCCACCCCACAAAGGATGCGGAATTCCCTATGGGATTCAATAGCAGGATGCGATGGCGTCCGAGAGGACCAGCGACACGTTGACGGCGGCGGGTTTACCGGAGGCTTTATCCACGGATCTCTGCATCACCTGCATGGGGATGCGCTCGTGGCCCACCACGCACGTGAAGACGTTCCCGCTGGACCAATCCTCTCCCGGCACCGTCAGGGCGCTGTAGGTGAAGTAGGAAGGGGCAGGATGGGCTCGGGACGCGGGCGGACGCGGGCGCGATTCCGGCGTCGGCGGCAACGTCACGTAGTCGGCAGCGGGAACGGGATCCCCGTTGCGGAGCCATTGGATGAAGAGGTCCGGGGGGTTGAAGCCCGTCACCAGGCACGTGATGGTGGCCGATTCCCGCATGGAAAGCTGCTCGGAGGGAGGTGGGAACACGAAGACGGACGGCGCCTTGGCGTCGCTCGCTGCGGAAGGAAGAGGGAACGGGTCGGGTCTCCGAGGGGAAACGGTGGCGTGGGATCCGTTCCCTTCGGGTTTCCAACGGGAAGAGGGGGGGTTGGATCCGTTCCCATGGGGTTTCCCAAAGGAAAGGCTGGGGTTGGGTCAATTTCCATCGGTTTTACAAAGGAAATGGTGGGATTGGGACATTTTCCACCGATTTTCTAAAAGAAATGGTGGGATTGGGTCATTTTCATCAACTTTCCAAAGGAAATGGTGGGTTTGGGTCACTTTCCACCAATTTTCTAAAAGAAATGGTGGGATTGGGTCATTTTCCACCGATTTTCTAAAAGAAATGGTGAGATTGGGTCATTTTCATCAACTTTCCAAAGGAAATGGTGGGATTGGGTCATTTTCCATCGATTTTCCAAAGGAAATGGTGGGATTGGGTCAATTTCCATCGATTTTCTAAAGGAAATGGTGGGATTGGGTCATTTTCCATCGATTTTCCAAAGGAAATGGTGGGATTGGGTCAATTTCCATCCATTTTCCAAAGGAAATGGTGGGATTGGGTCATCTTTCCCATATAAACCACCCAAACCAGTCTAGCCCAGCCTAAACCACTCTAAACCAGTCCCAAACCAGTATAAACCACTCCCAGCACCACTATAGACCAGCCTAGAGCAGTCTAACCCAGTATAGACCGGTTTAAACCACTCTAAACCACCTCCAAACCACTCCCAGCACCAGTATAGACCAGTCTAACCCAGTCTAGACCACTATAGACCAGTCCAACCCAGTCCAACCCAGTCACCCCAATGCCCCCTCACCGGCTGCCTTCTGCAGGGTGGCCTGGGCAGGGAAGAGCAGCTCGGGGTGGGTGACCCTGCAGGTGAAGATGTCCCCCCTGTCCCACTCGGTGGTGCGGACGTTGGCCACGGCCATGGCGCTGAAGAGCCCGTTGGCCTCCAGGACGTGGGGCAGCCTCTTGGTGTCGAGCTCGGTGCCGTCCTCCTTCCACCAGGACACGTCCAGGCCGTCCATGGAGGGCACGTTGAGGACCTGGCACGAGAGCTTGGCCACCTTCTCCTTGAAGATGTCCATGAAGAGCGGCGGCGTCACCTTCACGGTGATGTCCTCACTGGGGGCCTCGTCTATGGGCGGGGGGAGATGGAGACGTCAGCACGCGTTGGTCATGGACGTCAACACGCGTTGATCATGGACATCAACACGTGTTGGTCATGGATGTCAACCCATGTTGGCCATGGACATAGAACCATGTCGGCCATGAACGTCAACATCTGTTGGCCATGGACGTCGACCCATGTTGGTCATGGATGTCAACCTATGTTGCCCATGGATGTCACCCCATGTTGGTCATGGATGTCAACCTATGTTGCCCATGGATGTCAACCTATGTTGCCCATGGATGTCAACCCATGTTGGTCATGGATATCAACCTATGTTGCCCATGGATGTCAACCTATGTTGGCCATGGATGTCAACCCATGTTGGTCATGGATATCAACCTATGTTGCCCATGGATGTCAACCTATGTTGCCCATGGATGTCAACCCGTGTTGACCATGGACATCAACCCACTTTGGCCATGAACGTCAACCCATGTTGGCCATGGACATCAACCTATAGAAGACTTAAGGGGACATCTTGGTCTCCAATCTATGGCCACCAATGGACACACTATGGATCTCCTATGGTCTATACGGCGCCCCCCCCCCGCCACTGCCCCATTCAAGCTCTTCCCAGCCCCATAGTGACCGCCCCATAGACTCACATCCGCACTCCAGAGCCTTGCTGATGTTCCTCATCTCGTCCCCCACCTGGCACGTGAAGACGTCCCCGGAGGCCCACTCGGCCTCGGTGACCACCAGGAGGCTGTTGGTGACGCCGCGGCCGCCGTTGGCCAAGGTCTCGGTGATGGCGGCGTCGAGGAGGTCCAGGCCGTTCCGGAGCCAGCGGATGGGGGGCGAGGGGGGGCCTTGGACGTGGCACAGGAGGGTGGCGTTGCGGTAGGGGCCCTGGAAGTCCTCGCGGGATGGGGGGTACAGGGTGACGGTGGGGACAAGGGGGGCGGACGGGGAGGTGGAGCCTGTGGGGAGGAGGTGGAGCTGGATGGAGGTGGACCAGGATGAAGGACAAGGATCAAGCAGCACAGATGGAGAACCCCCCAATGCCCCCAGAGACCCCCATTGACCACATAGCCCCCCCATAGACCCCCATAGCCCCCCATAGTCCCCATAGACGCCCATAGCCATCCATAGCCCCCATAAACCCCCATAGACCCCCATAGCCCCCCATAGCCCCCCATAACCTCCCATAGACCCCCATTGAATCCCATAGTCCTCTACAGCCCCCCCATAGACCCCCACTGCCCCCATTGATCCCCATTGACCCCTATTGATCCCATTGACCCCCATAGACCCCCACAGCCCCCCATAGTTCCCATAGACTCCCATAGCCCCCTATAGACCCCATAGAACCTCATTAACCCCTATGGGCACCCCATTGACCCCTATGGCCTCCCATTGACCCCCATAGACCCCTATTGATCCCACTGACACCCATTGACTCTTATTGATCCCATTGATCCCCATAACCCCCCATAGCCCCCTACTGGTCCCATTGATGCCTACAGACCCCCATAGCCCCCCATAGATCCCCATTGACCCTTATTGATCCCATTGACCCCCCATAGCCCCCTATTGATCCCATTGACCCCAACAGACCCCCATAGCCCCCCATAGCCCCCCATTGACCCCCATTGACCCCCATAGACCCCATTGACCCCTATTGATCCCATTGACTCCCATAGCCCCCAATAGCCCCACATTGACCCCTATTGATCCCATTGACCCCCATTGATCCCATTGACCCCCATTGACCCCCATAGCCTTCCATCGACCCCCATTGACCCCTCTTGATCCCATTGACCCCATTGACCCCCATTGACCCCCATAGCCCCCCCATAGCCTCCCATTGACCCCCATAGCCCCCCATTGACCCCCATTGACCCCCATTGACCCCTATTGATCCCATTGACCCCCATAGCCCCCCATAGCCTCCCATCGACCCCCATTGACCCCTATTGATCCCATTGACCCCCATTGACCCCCATTGACCCCCATAGCCCCCCATTGACCCCCATAGCCCCCCATAGAGCCCCCATTGACCCCCATTGACCCCCCATTGACCCCCATAGACCCCCATAGAGCCCCCATTGACCCCCATTGACCCCCCATTGACCCCCATTGACCCCCATTGACCCCCATAGCCCCCCATTGACCCCCATTGACCCCCATAGCCCCCCATGGGCACCCACCGGGGTTGGTGACGTTGGCGCTGGCGCTGCCCAGGCGGCACTGGAAGGGCTGCAGGGCCCGGCCCTCGGCGCCCTCCATGACCAGGAGGGAGGCGGCGCCGGCGCCGTGGGGCGCCCCACGGAAGGCCCCGGTGGCGCTGTGGGTCCGGTCGTGGCGGTCGCGCCAGGCGATGGCGGCGCCGGGGGGCACGGAGCCCACGGCCACGCAGGCGACGGAGAACAGGGAGGAGGAGGAGGAGGAGGAGGAAGAGCAGGGGGAGAGGGGCAAGAGGGAGGGGGCAGCTGTGGGGAGAGAGGGGAGAGGGTGAGTGCGGGGGATTTGGGGGGAAAAATGGGGGTTTTGGGCAAAAAAAATACATTTTTTGGGGGGAGAAATGGGGGTTTTGGGGAAATAAATGCATTGGTTTTGGGGGAGAAATGGGGGGTTTGGGGGAAAAAAATGCATTGGTTTTGGGGGGAAAAATGGGGGTTTTGGGCAAAGAATGCATTGGTTTTGGGGGGAGAAATGGGGGTTTGGGGGAAAAAATACATTGGTTTTGGGGGAGAAATGGGGGGTTTGGGGGAAAAAATACATTGGTTTTGGGGGAGAAATGGGGGTTTTGGGGAAATAAATGCATTGGTTTTGGGGGAGAAATGGGGGGTTTGGGCAAAAAGATGCATTGGTTTTGGGGGAGAAATGGGGGTTTTGGGCAAAAAAATACATTGGTTTTGGGGGAGAAATGGGGGGTTTGGGGGAAAAAATACATTGGTTTTGGGGGAGAAATGGGGGGTTTGGGGGAAAAAAATACATTGGTTTTGGGGGAGAAATGGGGGGTTTGGGGGAAAAAATGCATTGGTTTTGGGGGAGAAATGGGGGTTTTGGGCAAAAAAAATATATTGGTTTTGGGGGAGAAATGGGGGTTTGGGGCAAAAAATGCATTGGTTTTGGGGGAGAAATGGGGGGTTTGGGCAAAAAAATACATTGGTTTTGGGGGAGAAATGGGGGGTTTGGGGAAAAAAATGCATTGGTTTTGGGGGAGAAATGGGGGGTTTGGGGGAAAAAAATGAATTGGTTTTGGGGGAGAAATGGGGGGTTTGGGGGAAAAAAATGCATTGGTTTTGGGGGAGAAATGGGGGGTTTGGGCAAAAAAAATGCATTGGTTTTGGGGGAGAAATGGGGGGGTTGGGGGAAAAAATGCATTGGTTTTGGGGGAGAAATGGGGGGTTTGGGGGAAAAAATACATTGGTTTTGGGGGAGAAATGGGGGGTTTGGGGGAAAAAAATGCATTGGTTTTGGGGGGAGAAATGGGGGTTTTGGGCAAAAAAAATATGTTGGTTTGGGGGGAGAAATGGGGGGTTTGGGGGAAAAAATGCATTGTTTTGGGGGAGAAATGGGGGGTTTGGGCAAAAAAATGCATTGGTTTTGGGGGGAGAAATGGGGGGTTTGGGGAAAAAAAATGCATTGGTTTTGGGGGAGAAATGGGGGGTTTGGGGAAAAAAAATGCATTGGTTTTGGGGGAGAAATGGGGGGTTTGGGGAAAAAAATACATTGGTTTTGGGGGAGAAATGGGGGTTTTGGCGAAAAAAAATACATTGGTTTTGGGGGAGAAATGGGGGTTTTTGGCAAAAAATGCATTGGTTTTGGGGGAGAAATGGGGGGTTTGGGCAAAAAGATGCATTGGTTTTGGGGGAGAAATGGGGGGTTTGGGCAAAAAAAATACGTCGGTTTGGGGGGAGAAATGGGGGTTTTGGGCAAAAAAAAATATGTTGGTTTGGGGGGAGAATTGGGGGGTTTGGGGGAAAAAAATACATTGGTTTTGGGGGAGAAATGGGGGGTTTTGGGAAAAAAAAATCCATGGTTTTGGGGGAGAAATGGGGGTTTGGGGGGAAAAAAATACATTGTTTGGGGGGAGAAACGGGGGGTTTGGGGAAAAAATATGTTGGTTTGGGGGAGAAATGGGGGTTTTGGGCAAAAAAATACATTGGTTTTGGGGGAGAAATGGGGGTTTTGGGCAAAAAAAATACATTGGTTTTGGGGGGAGAAATGGGGGGTTTGGGCAAAAAAATGCATTGGTTTTGGGGGAGAAATGGGGGGTTTTGGGCAAAAAAATGCATTGGTTTTGGGGGAGAAATGGGGGGTTTGGGGAAAAAAATGCATTGGTTTTGGGGGAGAAATGGGGGGTTTGGGCAAAAAAATGCATTGGTTTTGGGGGAGAAATGGGGGGTTTTGGGGAAATGTATTGGGGTTTGGGGGAAAAAATGGGGGTTTTGGGAAAAAAATACATTAGTTTTGGGGAAAATGGGGATTTTGGGGGGAATGTATTGGGTTTTGGGGGGAAAAAGGAGGGCTTTGGGCAAAAAAAATACATTGTTTTTGGGGGAGAAATGGGGGTTTTGGCCAAAAAATACATTGGTTTTGAGGAAAATGGGGATTTTGGGGGGAATGTATTGGGGTTTGGGGGGGAAATGGTTTTTTTGGGGGGGGGAAAGGAGGGTTTTGGGCAAAAAATCGACTTTTTTTTGGGGAGAAGTGGGGGTTTTGGGGGGAATGTATTGGGGTTGGGGTAAAAATGTGGGTTTTTGGGCAAAAGAAATCATTTTGGGGGAAATGGGGGTTTGGGGGTAAAAGTGGTTTTTGGGGAAAAAATGGGGGTTTTGGGCAAAGAAAAAACATTTTTAGGGGAGAAATGGGGGTTTGGGGGGAATATATTATTTTTGGGGGGAAAAATGGGGGTTTTGGGCAAAAAGAACCCTTTTTGGGGGGGGGAATGGAGATTTGGGGGAAATATATTGGGTTTGGGGGAAAAAGTGGGGATTTTGATCAAAAATATTGGGGTTTTGGGGGGGAAATGGGGATTTTGGATTAAAAAAAATCATTTTGGGGAGGGAAATGGGGATTTGGGGGAAAAAATCCTGGTTTTAGGGGAGAAAACAGGGATTTTGGGGAAGGGATCAGTGCCGGCAGCCCCAGCTGCCCTATAGCTGCTCCTGCAGTACTGGGACCAGTATGGGACCAGTATGGACCAGTATGGACCAGTACCGGTACCCCCAGCTGCCCTATAGCTGCTCCTGCAGTACTGGCACCAGTATGGACCAGTATGGACCAGTATGGAGCAGCACCGGTACCCGCAGCTGCCCTATAGCTGCTCCTGCAGCTATGGGACCAGTATGGGACCAGTATGGACCAGTATGGACCAGTATGGAGCAGCACCGGTACCCCCAGCTGCCCTATAGCTGCTCCTGCAGTACTGGGACCAGTATGGACCAGTATGGACCAGCATGGAGCAGCACCGGTGCCCCCAGCTGCCCTATAGCTGCTCCTGCAGTACTGGCACCAGTATGGACCAGTATGGACCAGTATGGGACCAGTATGGACCAGTATGGACCAGTATGGGACCAGTATGGAGCAGCACCGGTACCCCCAGCTGCCCTATAGCTGCTCCTGTAGTACTGGGACCAGTATGGGACCAGTATGGACCAGTATGGGACCAGTATGGACCAGTATGGAGCAGCACCCGTACCCCCGGCTGCCCTATAGCTGCTCCTGCAGTACTGGCACCAGTATGGGACCAGTATGGACCAGTATGGGACCAGTATGGAGCTGCACCGGTACCCCCAGCTGCCCTATAGCTGCTCCTGCAGTACTGGGACCAGTATGGGACCAGTATGGACCAGTACCGGTACCCCCAGCTGCCCTATAGCTGCTCCTGCAGTACTGGGACCAGTATGGGACCAGTATGGACCAGTACCGGTACCCCCAGCTGCCCTATAGCTGCTCCTGCAGTACTGGGACCAGTATGGACCAGTATGGACCAGTATGGAGCAGTACCGGTACCCCCAGCTGCCCTATAGCTGCTTCTACAGTACTGGGACCAGTATGGACCAGTATGGACCAGTATGGACCAGTATGGAGCAGCACCGGTACCCCAGCTGCCCTATAGCTGCTCCTGCAGTACTGGGACCAGTATGGGACCAGTATGGACCAGTATGGAGCAGCACCGGTACCCCCAGCTGCCCTATAGCTGCTTCTACAGTACTGGGACCAGTATGGGACCAGTATGGACCAGTATGGAGCAGCACCGGTACCCCCAGCTGCCCTATAGCTGCTCCTGCAGTACTGGGACCAGTATGGACCAGTATGGACCAGTATGGACCAGTATGGGACCAGTATGGAGCAGCACCGGTACCCCCAGCTGCCCTATAGCTGCTCCTGCAGTACTGGGACCAGTATGGACCAGTATGGACCAGTATGGAGCAGTACCGGGACCCCCAGCTGCCCTATAGCTGCTCCTGCAGTACTGGGACCAGTATGGGACCAGTATGGACCAGTATGGAGCTGCACCAGTACCCCAGCCGCCCTATAGCTGCTCCTGCAGTACTGGGACCAGTATGGGACCAGTATGGAGCAGCACCGGTACCCCAGCTGCCCTATAGCTGCTCCTGCAGTACTGGGACCAGTATGGGACCAGTATGGACCAGTATGGACCAGTATGGGCCCCTCTACCCTGATCTATACACATGAATGGATGGGTACAACACTATTAATAGATTAATAGCTATAAATCGATATATCCCTATCAATGGAGCCGAATTAATAGCTATTAATTAATAGATAAACCTCTATTATCCCTATCAATAGAGCCGAATTAATAGCTATTAATCAATAGATAAACCTCTATGATCCCTATCAATGGAGCCGAATTAATAGCTATTAATCAATAGATAAACCTCCATTATCCCTATCAATGGAGCCGAATTAATAGCTATTAATCAATAGATAAGCCTATGTTATCCCTATCAATAGAGCTGAATCAATAGATTAACCTATATTCTTATATATTAATACTTATTAATCAATATATCTATCTGTATAGGTATCTGTCTATTAATACCCATTAATTAGGAATATTACTCTATTAATTGCTGGATATTGGAGATATCAACCCCAAAACTGGATATTAATCGATAATATCGATTATAGATGTGAGGATTCATCAATATTATATTCATCTAAGTTAATATTAATCGACATTAATCTGTATTAATTAATATCAATCGCTACTAAACAGCATTAATTAATACTAATCGATATTATATTCATCTTTTTGTGTGCTATTTAGGAGCAATTCCATTTTATATCGATTAATATTTGGATTATTAGGTCGATATAATACATAATATATGATATATAATATATAACATATAATATACAGTATAATCATATATATTATATATAATATATAGTTAATATTGACTATATAATATAATTAATAATTAATGTGATATAATTAACCATTAATTAT